CCATCAGCTCCTCAGACCTCATCCACACCACTGCCATTATTTTCAACCTCCTCTGTGACATCAAATTCAATGAGAACTAGCACCCAAACCAGTCAACACACATTATCATCAGCCTCCACTTCCATGACACCAGGGACTGTTCTCCCTACCACAACGGAAGGCACAAGCCCTCCACAAACATCAGTTCCGGTCATTTATACAACCAGTGCCACCACACAAGCTCAAAGCTCATTCTCTACAGAAAGGACCTCTCCTTCCCACATTTCAGAAACTTCTTCCATGACTGCCCACCCATCCACACCACTTCCTGCAACAACCTTATCAACTATTTCCACCATGGGTGTAACTGGTACTCCTGTGGTCCACACCACCTCAGGGACACCCAGCAGTCCTCACGGTCCACACACCACACAACCTTCAACCACTGTTGCTGTCTCCAGCTCAGTGCACACCACACGTCCCCCCTCAGAAACATCCATGCACAGCACCTCCAACTTACCAACCCCATCAGCTCCTCAGACCTCATCCACACCACTGCCATTATTTTCAACCTCCTCTGTGACATCAAATTCAATGAGAACTAGCACCCAAACCAGTCAACACACATTATCATCAGCCTCCACTTCCATGACACCAGGGACTGTTCTCCCTACCACAATGGAAGGCACAAGCCCTCCACAAACATCAGTTCCGGTCATTTATACAACCAGTGCCACCACACAAGCTCAAAGCTCATTCTCTACAGACAGGACCTCTCCTTCCCACATTTCAGAAACTTCTTCCATGACTGTCCACCCATCCACACCACTTCCTGCAACAACCTTATCAACTATTTCCACCATGGGTGTAACTGGTACTCCTGTGGTCCACACCACCTCAGGGACACCCAGCAGTCCTCACCGTCCACACACCACACAACCTTCAACCACTGTTGCTGTCTCCAGCTCAGTGCACACCACAGGTCCCCCCTCAGAAACATCCATGCACAGCACCTCCAACTTACCAACCCCATCAGCTCCTCAGACCGCATCCACACCACTGCCATTATTTTCAACCTCCTCTGTGACATCAAATTCAATGAGAACTAGCACCCAAACCAGTCAACACACATTATCATCAGCCTCCACTTCCATGATACCAGAGACCGTTCTTCCTACCACAATGGAAGGCACAAGCCCTCCACAAACATCAGTTCGGGTCATTTATACAACCAGTGCCACCACACAAGCTCAAAGCTCATTCTCTACAGACAGGACCTCTCCTTCCCACATTTCAGAAACTTCTTCCATGACTGCCCACCCATCCACACCACTTCCTGCAACAACCTTATCAACTATTTCCACCATGGGTATAACTGGTACTCCTGTGGTCCACACCACCTCAGGGACACCCAGCAGTCCTCACCGTCCACACACCACACAGCCTTTAACCACTGTTGCTGTCTCCAGCTCAGTGCACACCACAGGTCCCCCCTCAGAAACATCCATGCACAGCACCTCCAACTTACCAACCCCATCAGCTCCTCAGACCTCATCCACACCACTGCCATTATTTTCAACCTCCTCTGTGACATCAAATTCAATGAGAACTAGCACCCAAACCAGTCAACACACATTATCATCAGCCTCCACTTCCATGACACCAGGGACTGTTCTCCCTACCACAATGGAAGGCACAAGCCCTCCACAAACATCAGTTCCGGTCATTTATACAACCAGTGCCACCACACAAGCTCAAAGCTCATTCTCTACAGACAGGACCTCTCCTTCCCACATTTCAGAAACTTCTTCCATGACTCCCCATCTATCCACACCATTTCCTGCAACAACCTTATCAACTATTTCCACCATGGGTGTAACTGGTACTCCTGTGGTCCACACCACCACCTCAGGTACACCCAGTAGTCCTCACGGTCCACACACCACACAACCTTCCACCACTGTTGCTGTCTCCAGCTCAGTGCACACCACACGTCCCCCCTCAGAAACATCCATGCACAGCACCTCCAACTTACCAACCCCATCAGCTCCTCAGACCTCATCCACACCACTGCCATTATTTTCAACCTCCTCTGTGACATCAAATTCAATGAGAACTAGCACCCAAACCAGTCAACACACATTATCATCAGCCTCCACTTCCATGACACCAGGGACTGTTCTCCCTACCACAATGGAAGGCACAAGCCCTCCACAAACATCAGTTCCGGTCATTTATACAACCAGTGCCACCACACAAGCTCAAAGCTCATTCTCTACAGAAAGGACCTCTCCTTCCCACATTTCAGAAACTTCTTCCATGACTGCCCACCCATCCACACCACTTCCTGCAACAACCTTATCAACTATTTCCACCATGGGTGTAACTGGTACTCCTGTGGTCCACACCACCTCAGGGACACCCAGCAGTCCTCACGGTCCACACACCACACAACCTTCAACCACTGTTGCTGTCTCCAGCTCAGTGCACACCACACGTCCCCCCTCAGAAACATCCATGCACAGCACCTCCAACTTACCAACCCCATCAGCTCCTCAGACCTCATCCACACCACTGCCATTATTTTCAACCTCCTCTGTGACATCAAATTCAATGAGAACTAGCACCCAAACCAGTCAACACACATTATCATCAGCCTCCACTTCCATGATACCAGAGACCGTTCTTCCTACCACAATGGAAGGCACAAGCCCTCCACAAACATCAGTTCCGGTCATTTATACAACCAGTGCCACCACACAAGCTCAAAGCTCATTCTCTACAGACAGGACCTCTCCTTCCCACATTTCAGAAACTTCTTCCATGACTGCCCACCCATCCACACCACTTCCTGCAACAACCTTATCAACTATTTCCACCATGGGTGTAACTGGTACTCCTGTGGTCCACACCACCTCAGGGACACCCAGCAGTCCTCACCGTCCACACACCACACAGCCTTTAACCACTGTTGCTGTCTCCAGCTCAGTGCACACCACAGGTCCCCCCTCAGAAACATCCATGCACAGCACCTCCAACTTACCAACCCCATCAGCTCCTCAGACCTCATCCACACCACTGCCATTATTTTCAACCTCCTCTGTGACATCAAATTCAATGAGAACTAGCACCCAAACCAGTCAACACACATTATCATCAGCCTCCACTTCCATGATACCAGAGACCATTCTTCCTACCACAATGGAAGGCACAAGCCCTCCACAAACATCAGTTCCGGTCATTTATACAACCAGTGCCACCACACAAGCTCAAAGCTCATTCTCTACAGACAGGACCTCTCCTTCCCACATTTCAGAAACTTCTTCCATGACTGCCCATCCATCCAAACCATTTCCTGCAACAACCTTATCAACTATTTCCACCATGGGTGTAACTGGTACTCCTGTGGTCCACACCACCTCAGGGACACCCAGCAGTCCTCACGGTCCACACACCACACACCCTTCAACCACTGTTCCTGTCTCCAGCTCAGTGCACACCACACGTCCCCCCTCAGAAACATCTATGCACAGCACCTCCAACTTACCAACCCCATCAGCTCCTCAGACCTCATCCACACCACTGCCATTATTTTCAACCTCCTCTGTGACATCAAATTCAATGAGAACTAGCATCCAAACCAGTCAACACACATTATCATCAGCCTCCACTTCCATGACACCACGGACTGTTCTCCCTACCACAATGGAAGGCACAAGCCCTCCACAAACATCAGTTCCGGTCATTTATACAACCAGTGCCACCACACAAGCTCAAAGCTCATTCTCTACAGACAGGACCTCTCCTTCCCACATTTCAGAAACTTCTTCCATGCCTGTCCATCCATCCCCATCAGTTTCAGCTACAAGCATATCAGCTAAATCCACCATGAGTGTAACTGATACTGTGCCTGTCTATACCTCCTCTAGCACATCTAGTAGTCCCCATACTCCACACACTACATACTCTCCTCCTACTCTTTCTGTCTCTAGCACAGCAAGTAACACTGGTTTCCCTTTAGGAACTTCCATGCACACCACCATCACCTATCCAACACCATCAGCTGCTCAGCCCTCTTTGTCCACACCACTTTCAGGTTTTTCAACCTCTCCTGTAACACGAACTCCTGTGATACCTACCACCCAAACTCTTGAATACACAGCATCATCAGCTTCCACATCTATACCATTGAGCACCATTCTTCTAACTACCCCAATGAGGGGTACAAGTTCCCTCAAAACAGCACCATCTATCACTTCCACTACAACTGCCATTACCCAAGTTTACTCTTCATTCACAACAGCAAAAACTTCTCCCTCGGAATTGAGTCCATCCTCATTGCCCCACAGCTCTGTTTCCCCTTCCTTCCCATCCCTACCAACTGCCTCTTCTGTCCCAACAAGTTTTCCATCCACTTTGGTTTCTCTCACTAATGTCCCACATTCCCCATCTGTAACATCATCCACCTCTTTCCTGCCCCACTCTGGTACCACTACATCTTTTCATTCTTCAACATCTTTCCCATCTTCTTCCATGACATTCCCTCTCACACCTACTTCAAGTTCTGCAGGTTCTACTCTACAGTATACTTCTACTCCCAGCTCAGTGTCCCATTCCGCACTGCTCACTAAACCCACATCATCTCATCCTTCATCTGTTTCTGCCTTTGTGTCTCCAACTGCTGCCTCTACTCCTGTTAATTCCTCTGTTTCCCCCCTTGTCACCTCATCCATTCCTTCCTCTGCTCTCCCCACCATCCACATGACTCCCACCCCATCTAGTCGGCCAACCTCCAGCAGTGGCCTTCTATCCACTTCCAAGACTACATCTCATATGCCCACCTTTTCTTCATTCTCCTCAAAGTCCACCACCTCCCAGTTTACCTCCCTTACTACCCAAGCCTCTACATCAGGGCTACTGTCTTCAACCATGGGCATGACAGTCTTCCCAAGTTCCCCAGACACCAACCACACCACTAGGCCTGGTACCAGCCCACTGCCTACATCTGTGTTCCTGAGCAGTCCTGCCACTCCCACTGGAAGTTCCTCACCGTCCACCCCAGTGTCACTCTCCAATCCAGACTCCTCCGTCTCCTCTCCACCCATCGATCCTGGTAAGTGGTGCCATTGGCTGGGTCCTTGTTCCCTAGGCTGCTTAGGTTCCAACTGTTTACTCCACAGAATTCTTCACCGAGTGTGGTCTGCTGTTTAGTGTTTTCCTCATTGTCCCTTGGTGCCTTCATGAAGGCCTGGTCCTGGAGCTTCTTTGGGGCATTTCTGAATCTAAGAGCAAGCTCCTTTCTCTTCACCTCTCAGGAACACTAGTCTGTGTTCTCCCAGTCTGGCTGAATTAGAGACTTGATCCCCATACATTTCAGGCCCATGTGCCTCCCTTGGTCCTAACTTCTCTAAGCGGCCCTCCACACCTGCCCCTTGGGAAGCTAGCATGTGAGATCTGGCTCTGCCCTGAGTTTAGGCATGTATTCTACCTCAGTGCTGAAGGAAATTACAGCCTAGTCCAGGCACGGCTCATCCCAGGTGACATGCAGGAGGCAGAGGTGGGGATAGAGGCCAAGCAAGGCCTGAAAACCAGTACGTACAATTCTTGCTTCCCATGGTTTCCACTAGCTCTCCTCCCCAACGACCAGGGCTCCCCACAGGGCAGTGATCCCTACACAGTGTCAGCCTGCACAGGAACATGAGTTCAACACATACTCCTAGGACACCCCTGATTTGAGTGTTCCTCTCAAGACACCCACCTGGGGCCAGGCTCCCCATACATGCTCTAGGCCTCCCTCATGCAGGAAGTCCTCACAGAGCCAGCAATCCATTCTTGTCTTAAGGTTACATATTGTCACTTTACGTTCAGGCTGTTTCCCAAGAAAATGGCCTCAGGAAGTAGGAGAGAGAACAGAAGGCCACCAGACCTTCCCCAAACCTCTTAGAGAAGCAGGGCAGGAATAAACTCGAGCACAAGAGAGAGATGATATACGGAGCCTATCTGTCACCCACAAATCATTTTTGAACTTAAACTATGTGTGTGCTGTGTGGAAACTTGCAGGAGCCCGTTCTTTCATCACGTGAATTCTAGGGACCTGTTGAACCATCTTATCTGGCCCCAACTTTTAGTTTTGTTTTGTTTTTCAAGACACGGTTTCTCTGGCTGGCCTCAAACTCAGAGAGATCCACCTGCTTCTGCCTCCCAAGGACTGGGATTAAACCCAACCCCAATTTTTATCGTTATTTATTTATTTATTCGTTTATTTATTTATTTATTTATTTATTTATTTATTTATTTTGAGACAGAGTTTCTCTGTATAGTTTTGGCGCCTGTCCTGGATCTCACTCTGTAGACCAGGCTGGCCTCAAACTCAGAAAGATCTGCCTGCCTCTGCCTCCTGAGTGCTGGGATTAAGGGTGTGCAACACCACCTCCCGGCCTCCAACCCCAATTTTTAACTTTTTAATCTAAGTACCACATGGGCAGTTTGTAACCCAGCCTCTTCTTGAACTCACTTCCTACATATGCAGATGTCCACCAACACACATTGCCCACACTGGCAGTTCCTAAGGTCAGCAGTCTGCCTGCCTGACGAGGCACCACCACCACCATTTGTCACTGGCTGCCGTGGCCTCTGAAACCTTTCCAGAAGCCCAGAGCAAAAGGTTTTCTCTGCTCTCCTTAACCCAGGTGGCACAATGAATGCTTATTCTCAGATCCTGTATGTTCTTTTGTGAGGAACATGGACATTCTTCAACACCCTCCTTTGGCCCTTAGCATGTCCTATATCCAACAGACATAAGACACCTTTTACTGAGGACTACCGGGGACTGACTCAGATCTACCTGGGCCTGGCTCATTGCCAGATTCTTTCAGAAAGCCTTGAATACTGGAGGGATAAGGAGCTACACAGAGGAGAGAGCTGGGGGGGCGGGGACTAGAAGTGACTGAGACCTGCTCTTGGGCCTCCATCTCCATCTCCATCTCCAGGAGCCTGCAGCTTGCAGGAAGAGGAACAACAGATTATCTACCAGGGCTGCGTGGCAAACGTGACTCTAACTCGTTGCCAGGGTTTCTGCGCATCCTCTGTCAGGTGAGTTGTTGGTAAACACCCTCCTTTCTGCAGGGACCAGAACCCTCCTAGGAGCTGGGCTCTCAGTGTTTCCCACACCTACTCTGACCAACAGAGGTCTATGCCAGTGGTTCTCAACCTGTGGGTCACGACCCTTGGGGGGGATCGAATGACCCTTTCACAGAGTCACCTAAGATCATCAGAAAACACAAATATTTACTTATGATTAATAACAATAGCAAAATTAGTTACAAAGTATGTGAAAATAATTTTATGGTTGATCGTTGCCACAACACAGGGAACTATATTAAAGGGTTGGAGTATTAGTAAGGTTGAGTGAGAACCACTGGTCTAGGCAGTGCACTCTGGCCACACTTTCCTTGCCTGTGAGTAGACACTGGTTCTTGAGGGCCTGGCCTACAAATCAGCTAGTATCCATTCTACTTTGGGACTGGCCTGGGAGGAGAGGGCCAATCCTGACCCTGCTGGTCTCTGCTTCTTGGCAGTCTCAATACGGACACCTTGCAGTTGGAGACCCGCTGTGGCTGCTGTCAGCCCCTCAGCACCTACGAGAAGCGACTCTCCCTGCCCTGCCCCGATCCCAATGCACCAGGTCAGCAGCTCACACTCACCCTCCAGCTGTTCAGCAGCTGTGTATGTAGCCCCCTGCAATGCAAGGACTAAACAACAGCAAGTGGTTTCTTGAGCACAAGGGATCACAGACACAGACACAGACACACACAGACACACACACACACACACACACACAGCCACTCCTGATACTTCCCTAACACTTGTAACAAGCAATCCCCTTACTGGCCATGGGCATGGCCTCAAGGAGACCTTGGACAAGGCTCATCCTGAGACAGCAGAGAAACAGAGCAACAGCTGTCACGAAAAGCCTCCTACCACCTACCTCCTGCAGACCTTGACCAAGCAAAACAGGCCTTCAGTGGAAATGAACTACCAACATCTCTTCAACCTTGATGCCCTGGGAATTTCCTGTCCACCTGTATAGCACCTCCCAGCCTCTGGCTATAATACCCAAGAGATCAGAACACCCAAAGCAGATGCTGGGAAGACTGGGCAGGGCATCTGGGGAGACATGGGGAATAACAGGAAGATGCAGGGGTATGAGCCTTGGGTAGGGACAGGCAGCGGGGTAAGCACCAAAGAGGCACAAGGAAAGGAGGTCTCCCCAGAGTCAGGGAGAAGCAAAAGGCATTGGCACCCACTGGGCAGGAGGCCATCACCCAACCAGTCAGTAGATTGCAAATAAACTGGTTCTTTTCAAGGCAGAACCTGGTGTGTACATGTTGCTGTTGTCTTCCAGAATCCTGAGCATGATCACAAACACCTGCACAGGCCAGGCCACTAGGACCTGGGACTGTCCGGGTCCATGTGGGGCTAAGACAGAAAGACCACCAGCCCTGGTCTTGAGCTGCACCCATCTGGGATTCTGTGGGGAAACCCTTTATCTTCCAGGCTCCCCAGACAAGGACCATCTCTCATGTGCAGCCCCAGACTGGGGCAGAGGAGAGGAGTACTCAATTCCACAGGGCACAGACTAAGGGCAGTATAGGACACTCCCCACAAAGATCACACACATGTTCCAGTTTCCTGTCCTAGCATTTATTTTTTTTTAATCTCTGAGAACAAGCACACTGTACTGATGAAGGCCCAGGAGTCACAGAGGGCAGGCCTGTGCCCCAGCAGCTTCCATGTGCTGGGCATTACTGATCTAGACACCACCACTGGGTAGCACATGGTACATAAGCCACAGCCACACAGGTTGAGCTATCCACATGGTCCTTGCAGTAGTGCATGAATTGCACATAATGGAGAGCCACACTGTCCAGCTACTGGAGCAAGAGAACTCCAGAGGCTCACTGTGGCCACAGCCAGATCATTCTTCTGCAACACAAGCCTGTGCCATGGCAAGTGTGGTTCACAACACATGACAGCCAGACCAAGGGCTTCATGGAACACAAGGGGTCAGCACAGCAGGTATTGGTTGTTCTGAAACTAACTGCCTGGGCTGTACAGAGTGGGGCTGCAGGAGCTTGAGTGGGATAGGAGCCCTGCCACTATCCTCAAACCCACCATGGCAGGCTGGCAGCCTAAGGCTGAGGCAAAAAACCTCACGCATATGTGACCATACCGAGGGCTCTAGTGAGCAAGGGTCATCAACACTGCTGTGTAAGTACAGATAAACCTGTACAACTGAGTCTACGGCAATCCTGGGCATCATCTCAAGCCAGAGTGCAGGGTCCCAGCCTGGGCTCCCAAGGCTTCTGACATGGTCTATGCTCTTCCCCTGATGGGCTGCACATACAGTGCAGTGCTCACAAGAGGTTAAATAACAAATGAGCTGCCAGTGCTCAAGCTAGGAAGTCCAGTGCATCCTTAGCACAGCACCTGCCTGGGCTGCCGTTCTCACCCCAGCCTGTCCCTCCATTACCACACTCAGGTCTCCCTTTCCACCCAACCACAAGGGCTTCACAGAAGTGAGAATGCAATACTGGGGCACCAACTAAGACCCTCTGGAGAGAAGCACACCTTATGAATTATTACTTCACCACCTGACCCATTAACCTTCAAGTCCCCAGAATGTACCACAGAGACAGTACATTCATTAAAAACAAAAGATGGGTGATGCCATGTCTTCCAAAGTCAATAGGAACCCCTCTACCCACCATGCTGCAAACCTAAGGTCTCAACTATGTGGTGAAATGTTCCAACTGTCCCTTCAAGAACATTGGTATGCTAGGCACAGGACCCTGCCAGGAGTGGGGCATGGAGTTTGCCAACAGTCATAAACACAAGCACTTCGGCACCATCAGTAGTGCTATAGCAAACCCCATCATCTGTTCAACCCATGAGGCCACACCCCTCTAAGCCACCGTTGTAACCGTCCAGCAGGGCCACACATCTTGTGTTAACCCTATAAGCACATGGCGCTGTTTCTGGATTCTGAGAATGAGTCAGTGGCATTTTAATAAAATTTGAACAAAATTTCTACTTTCGTTCAAACTTCTAATTTCCCTTTAATTTGTAGGTTGAACCACAGGGCTGTCTTGATTTTCCAGGCCCAGGCACCCTTCTTTGACGGGGCAGGCCTGCTGCAGCCCTTCTCAAACTGTGTCCTGTATTCTCTCCACACCCAAGGGGCTGGCTGTAGGTGTAGGACTGGAGGTGCCTTGAGTGGCAGTTTTTCAGACAAGGGGTGTTTATCTGCAGTGTGGTACAAAGACAACGGTAGAGACAAGAGAGACGCACAAACAAAGAGCCTGATCTTCTGGCCTGTGGATTAGAACTGTTCCGACAGCAATTCACATAGTCTCTGAGAGACGGTGTCTTTGCTGGTCCGCAGCGTGAGTCGGTACATCTGAAACAGAGAGCAGCAGGTGAGCGGGCACTGAGCCCCAGGTTCTTAGCAGGTACTTTTGTGGTCCAGGCCGCACCATTCGCAGCAGCCCCTCCCGACGCACCACTGTGTCACCAGTCAAAACAGAAAAGTCTAATAAAAGCAAGTGTTTGCAGCAAGGGGGAGTGGCTGTTAGCGGAGGTGGGGGTCAGCCAGTCACTCTGGAAAGCTCTTTTTTGTATTTTGAGACACAGTCTTACTGTGTGGCCCAGGCTGGCCTTGAACTGGTACTCCTGCTGCCTTCTCTTCCTGAGTACTGAGATTACAGGCATGCACCACCATACACAACCAGCTTGAGAGCTTCTCATCAAGTTAACTATGCACGACCTTTGAGATGACCACTACACCCCCAAAAGCACCCCAGCGTTGGGAAAACAAGCATCCACAAACAACGGAGCACACAGGCTGGAGTCTCCAGAGGAGCACTGCTGAGGCAAGCAGAATGCGTGCCACTCAGAGGAGGCAGAACAAGACAGCACCAGGAAAGCTGCGCACACAGCTCAGGCTAGGCTGCTACATGGGCATGTGGTGGCGCACCAGGCCTTCTGTGAGGAGAGGGAAATCCATGTGCTCTGATGGCCAGTAGCTGTCTAAGTGTCTGCACCATCACCATGACCACCAACACTTAGAATCTGCGTGTCTCTATAAATAAACCTCACCAAAATAAAAAGCAACACAATCATATCCATCCTCCTACTGTGGAGACCTCACCTGAGCTTGCAGATTTGGCTCCAGGCGCAGCAAGCAGCCGATCTGGGTGGTTTTGGTATGTATTATGCCAGCACCCACAAAATTTGCAGGATTTGGATCAACTTCCTCAAGGAGTGCAGAACCAAATCCTATAATCTGTACAAGAGTGAAGAGGCAGGTCAGGATGCAACAACATCAGATGTAACAACATCTGCCTCAGCTACATCACCATACACCCTTTACCTTTGCTTTAGTGATCTCTGTGTCCATCGGATGCTTTGCTTTGAAGATATTCTGCACTTCTTGCTGTGGGCTATAAAAAAACAGCATGTTAGTACTAAAAGCCATGCTGAGACCCATTGAGCATCTTGTCCAGGGACAGCCCCCAATTCCCTTCTCCACCCATAGTACAGCCCTCTCACTTGCTCAACTGCTTCCAACGTTGAAAGAAATCCTGAGAAGCCATTTCTGTGGGCTGGAAAAATTTGTTGAGTGTGATGGGCAGCTTAACAGACACATTCTGGAAGGTCCCACCATACCTGTAACAATAGAGTCATATTATGGAGAACAAACGCTTAGCCAAAATGTTCCAGTTAATTGAGTCTTCAGCACTTAGAGAAGAGCCATGTGGCCACCCATCTCAATAATAGCCACAAAGATTGCATACCAGCAGTATTCCTGGAGGGGCTAAGCCACATTCTCCAACCATCCGTCCTGCTGCAGTCCATATCTACACCATTCACAGGTGAGCAAGGGACCAAGCAACTGCTTTGTGCCAAGTGTCAGAGGACCAGTTCCTTTCAGTTCTACTCCTTTGGGAAATGAAGACCCAGAACAGGCCCAAGTAGACTACCAAATCAATTAGCCTTGTAGCTCCCCAAGAAGGAACCACTGTAATGACTAAAAAGAAGGCTACATGCTATGACCCAGAAGTCTAGCTCCAAACCAGCTACTATTATCCCTCAAGATGGCCTTTCAAGCCAGCTTCAGCAGGCAGCACAGAGAGCCTGGCTCTCTGCCTCCCAGAAGCAGGACCTTCCATTTCTCACCACAAAATCATCTGGTTCAGAAATAGCCTAGCCTGAAGACCACACAGGAGACTCAACCCCATGGGTACCACGTCATGGTCACAGAAGCCAGCTCCCTCTCCACTTGTTCCTATACTCTGGAAGCTCCAGGTCTGGCAGTACTCTGCAGGCATGCACAGTGGCACAGCAGTAACTAATGAACTCCCTTGAGAAGCACACAGGTTGGGAAAGGACACAGGAGGCACACCCCCCTCACCTGAACTGGATGTTGAGAACAGGGGCCTCTGTGAAATCAGACACACACTCAATGTTGACCACCTGCTGCACCTGTGCGCCCCCATCCACAGTTGGGTCCACAGGCTTGGTCTGCAGGTTCAGATGTGAGAACATTAAGGAGTCCAAGCAGGCAGGGAGAATGGGCCCAGCACAGCCACCCACAACGGACAGTAGCGGGGTCCCCTACAAATCACTTTGCCAACCTGTCCTTCCACCATTCAACATGTTTCACTGGCCCAGACCACCCACAGTCATATGTATCTGGCTATTCCCTTTCTCTAAAAGACCTTAGAAGTTGTACACTAGCAGCATACTGGCCTTGGCACTGCAGAACTAAGCTCTGGAACTCTGTGATGACTCCTGCTGTGCTCAGCAGAAGCCATGCCTACTAACTCAAAGGCACACAGCTTTACAGATCAGTGTAGCTCTGCACTTATGCAAGCCAGAGACTGAAACATCTGAACAGGAGCCTCTAGGTTCACTGTAACACCCTTGCATCTAGGATCTATGCAACCATAGCTCGACCTGGGCAGTTTCTGCTTCCCTGTGCATTCTGCATGGCAACCTGTGCCCACAGCTCATAACCCCTTGGAGCCCAGGAGAAGGAGACACATAGACGGTAGTTCTACATACATCACTCCTTTTGTGTATATAGCAGGGAAATGCTGGAGATGGAACCAGCATGAGCTGGTTCTTGCTTATGCATTCTACCACTGAGCCACATGCCTAAACACCACACCACTGTTTCTGACTTGTTTCCAAATGGTTCTATATTTAAATATATCAACTCCAAATAAACACAGGTCTACTACATACTATGAGGTGAGCCCAAGGCATGCATCCCCGGCTGTTGTGAACCCTACTCTGCACACTGCAGCAGACCCCAGCTGTCCCTCTCTCACAGCCGCTCAGCTGAAGCCATCCAACATTCCTGACCATTCCTAGTGGCCACATAGAGCCATCCTCTGCCTGAGCAAAGGATGTGCCAAAGCACACATAAGCCCAGCAGGCATGAGATGCTCCATACTGGCTAGTTACCATAGACTCACTCTGCCTTCGGCCACAGCTCCTTTTGGGGGAC